TATATGTGAATTACAGTACATGTTTCTAGGGATGTTAGTTCTGCATGTGGTTGTTCAGCTGGATGTAGTCCACCATCCTAAGAGCCTGGGCCATTGGAGTCCAGACTGTGATAGGTGGATTCTTCTATTAAACAGATTTCCTGTTTCCAACAAATAAGAGCTGCCTCTTCCACATCTCTTGGAAAATGTTTCATGATCTTCATGAGGAATCACTAAAATGCTCTCATGAATAGTCTGGTTTATGAAATGATATGTAGGCAACAAATTCCAGACCAGCCTATGAGCTCTATGAAATACTGAATGAGTGCAATACATATCCTGAACCTCAGAGATTTAGTACCTAGATACTCTTTCCTGTATCTCCTTGTCTCTCCTGTATCAGAGATAATAGTGCTTGTGGGGAACTTCAACAATACATTCGAGAAGGAGATCCCCTAAGTCTACAATGAACCCTAAGAGTCAGTGGCTTTAGGTACATTGAAGCTAATTTTCAGTTCCTAAAGATAGTACTTTAGGGCTAATTTAGGCAACCAAGAATGCTCTTTTCTCCTGATTTTTAGAGCTTGGGAAAAGATTTCCAGTGAGCCTTTTAAAGTATATGTTTCTCAAAACTTCACTGTGGAGTCTGATGGGAGGAAGAACAGTGATTAATTGTAGTTTGCTGTCTTGCATGCTAAAATAGTAATTTTCAAATTTAAATCTGTTGTATATTTTTGTAAAAGTGTAATTTATACCCTCCCTCCTGTGACTTTTCAAGTTAAGGCACAATTTAAATATAATTCCATGCAATATTAGATTAGGGGAAAGCAAACCTTTTCCACTGAATATTCAAGCAAAGAAAGTGTTTTAGAATGCCATAAATCATGCTTGTCAAAGCCTTCAAAGGAATCATTCTGTACAGTTACCTTGTCTATTATTTAGAAAGCACAGACGTTGAACAATATAATTCAGCTGTGCTGTGTGTATCTGATTTACATACAGTTGTCTCTCTTTAATCTAGACTTTCATAAAAGGAATATAATTAGTGATTTTCAATTTAACTTCAAAATTGTTGAATTTTATTTTGATTAACTTATAATTGCAGTGCACGTGCATATTTAGAGCCATTTGGACTCCAACACAAAGATGAGTCTGTGGATTTGTTGGTAACTAATGAACCATATGAATTGAGAGGTGCTGAACTATTATATTCAAGACATATAACACACCATGAAATTGCTGGCACTTTAACTTAGTTCTATCTCTTTTCCTAAATACCTCTGTGAAAATCTAACTGAAATTCTATACCAACCTCACAGCCTTGTGCTTGACTAATTCATAATGGTTAATCAAACAGGTGAAGCGGGGCTGGAAGGGACCTCCAGAGGTTATTTAGTCCAACCCCTTGCCTGAGGCAGAATCATCCTTATCCAAACTATCTCATACAAACCATAATAAACTCTACGTAAGACTACTATCAACCCTGACACAAGACAGACCTCACGCTCTAACCTGCCAGAGGTAAAACAGATGAACCAGGGCAGCCAATGTCCTGCTTCTATGAAATGTTGTCAATATATGTTAAAGAAATCCTAGGTGAAGGGCCATACTCCCCGCTACAGTGGAAAGCAAAACCTCCACAGTCTGGACCAATCTGAAGGGTAAAATTCCTTCCTGATCCCAAATATGGCGATAGGTCAGACACTGAGCAGAGGGGTGAAACCCTCCAGTCAGGAATCTCCAGTCTGGATCCCAGCAGAAGCATTGACCCTACAGTCCCCACCCAGGCTTGGCTGTAGCTAACACCCAATGACTTTGAGGAAGACTTAAAAACACCCTGACCCATTTAGCAGAAACTTGTGCAGACAGGGGAAAAGAACCAGCAAAGCCCAGAAGCGTGGGGAATACCTAGATCATGTTGACCAGTAGCTCTCCAACCACTTCTTGAGCACTTCCAGTGATGGAGAGCCCACAACTTCTCTAGGAAGTCTATTTCATTGCCTCACTGTTCTAACAGCGAAGACATTTTTTCCAGATATTTAATCTAAATGTACTTTGCTGCCATTGGTCTGTGTCCTCTTCTATGTAGCAATAGAGAGAAAATGTGCTTTCCCACTTCTTTATGGCAGCCCTTCAAGTATGTGAAGTATCTGAAGAAGGGATCATAAAGGATCATACGGATTTATTTCTTTGAATTCTTACAGTTATGACATGCTGTAACAGCACACTCATTCATAATCTGTTAGTTTTAAGGATCCTTCATCTTGGTAAATTATATATGACCCATATTTCCAAAAGGACTGTTTTCAGCAAAGATGTTTTATTTCTAGTGAGTGATAATAATAAGCATCACATCAGATGTGTCAGATACAAACTGAATTTACTATTTTAATGACACTACATTATTTAGTGAAATCCAACAGAAAAATATTGAAAGTGTGTGGGTCTGGTATGTTAATTTAGCTCATCACCTAGAGTTGAAAGTTCTACGTTTTAAAGACTCAAGAGCTGCTAAATCATTTTGATTTCCTGAATCATTTTAGTTTAAGAAGCATCACTATGCTAAAAAGAAATAAAAAAATTGCGAAAGGTATGGGAAAAAACCCCACTTGATCTGAAATTTCATATTGCGAGGTTAGTTATTCAGGTCTTCAGTAAATTATAACAACTGACACCAAAAGGCAAACATGAGGACCTGTTTGTGCATAAAGGCATTTGATTTGTTGTCAAAGGTGAAGAGGCTAAATGAAATATGAGATGCATCTGGTTATCAGAACTATAGCCACCCTGGAAAATAATGAAGTATAATACCTTATCGGCTGCACAGCTTAGTTTTAAGAGCTGTTGTGGGGTGTATGTGGCTGGAGGGGAATAGCAGCATTAACAGTTGTGGCTACAGGTCAGGCATTGCCATCTTGCTGTTCAGGAGTATGGCTCTAAGAGGCAAGGTTAAAAAAGTCTGCGTAAAATTTTCAGAAGTATCTTAGGATCCTATACTCTAGAGCTGCTATTGCAGCTTCTGTAGACCTACTTGTACTCCCCTTAAACCTAAGTAGTTCAAGCAGTGGTAACAGGTTAGCTTTGCAGGGAATGCAGTGCATACTACGTCTGAAGAGCTCTGGGCAAGGTCTCAGCAGCTGAAGTTTGTGGTGCCATAGACTCCGCTGTTAGGAGCATCCAAGTTACTCTGTTTAATGCTAGCTCAGACACATCTATAGGACACAGTATGAACTTACCCTAAGATGTCATTGTCCTAAGTCTCAAGTATCACAGGTTCCTAAGGCAAAACTCTGTGGAATTTAGACATCTAAGTCATTTAGATGCTTAGAAAATGTTATGCTGTAGGTCACATTTTTAAAGATGCTTAGGCACCTATGGATGAAGATAGGTAAGTTGCAATGCAGTGCTGTGCATAGCTGGCTTCAAACAAGCAGTATAGCAGGGCCATAGACCCCTGAGAGTCTATAAGTGCCTACAGTTTCACTTGGAAAATGACTTAATTGTCTAATCTGTTTCTGAGCAAGCCCCAAACTGGTGGCTTTTTGGCAGGGCTGAGCATCTTAGTAGCTCTCTCATTTTAAGGGCTGTTTGAGAGTCACAAAATAGGCATTCTTCCAAGCCTGACTTACAGAGAAGGGTGGTAATTCAGACATGCCGTTGTGCTCACCATTTCCTACTGACTGTCTCTATGCAAGCCTGTGTTTGGCATGTAGTTTTTGTGGATCAGTTTTCAAAGGCACTCCCCTGTGACAGCATAGGGGATCTGGGGTTTAATTCCATTTCCTTTAATCATCTTGCTAGGGCCAGACACCTGAGTTTTAGGTGTGTTGCCTAAGGTGCATGTGCCTAAAACGTCCCTCTGGATTTCACTATCCATGCTTTTGAAAATCCTACTAGGCACCTATCTGGGTCTTTAGGTGTTAAGTTCCTTTCAAAAACTGGCTGTCAGTTGCTAAAGTAAAAGGTTTACATTGGTTTCTTTGCCCTTATTCAAGTGTTCTTCCATATGATTAAAGCTAAATCCTCCTGCCAGAGCCTGCTTAAACTTAGGGTTCATAAAAATATTTCTGAAAAGGAATATTTTGGAAAGACAAGATTGAACCAAGCAGCAAATTCTGTCCCTTGTTACATATGCTTAGTGTGCTTATTATACGTACATGCTATTCTATAATATTAATATCCTCAGTGTATTTTTTTCCAGGAATTATGGATAAACATTTTCAAAGTACAGCTTAATATGACCTATATTTGTGCCTAATGGCATCACCTTTCTAAACAGCTAAAAAAAAGGCATTTTCATTTAGCTGGAAAAGCAAATCAATCAATCAATTTCCCAGTCAATTAATCCTCCTTTCTGTGAATCCACATTCCATTGGGGCATGAGGTTTACCAGCGCACAAGGGAAAAGATCTGTGGGAGCCATTTGTTGTAAAGCTGGCAGTGTAACACTGCCCAAAAGGAAATGTAAGCACCTGCACATGCCCAGAAGGAAGATGGCACTTCTCTGCAGCATGGGTTGTTCCAAGGCATTTTAGGGATGTTTCAATAAAACAAGAGACCCTCCTACTTAAATTTAAAAGATGGTGTAATGACTGTCTACAAAACTATCTATACTCACTCAGATAGATGACTTGTCCATACACATAGACAACTGGATGAACAACTATTCCACCTCATTTTTATATACTTTTTTTATTTTTGTGGACACAAGAGATTGTTTCTTGGGCTCCTGAATGCAGGTGCATATTCTTTGTCATTGCAGCATACATTTGCTTAGATTTGGATGAGATAATGAAAGGTCCTTCAAGGATTTACTTTCTCCCAAGAAAAGATTAAAGGCAATTTAAATAGGATTCTTCACAATGTGCAAACATTCCCTGAAAGATTCTGAAGAAAAAGGGAATTTTTCCCTGTCCTTACTTCAAAAAGCAGTAAGAGGAGGTCAACTACTGATAATACAAAGACTACTGTCTACTTCGAAGTTAATTTGCATATTAATACACTCTGAAGTAATGGGTGACAAGAGAAACAGTGTTGAGAACTCATTGCCTTCTGATCTTAGGAACTTTCTTGCTAGTGATAATTAGCTCAAAATATTCTACAGGGATCTTGAAATACAATATTAAACTACAATGGCTTCTCTGCTGTGAATGGCAGTTGTTCAATGCAACTGGGAGACTCATGCCTGTACAGTTCCAACCTGCTTTTTGTTTCAATTTGATTAACATAGTGGTTGCCAGTAAAATCTAACTTATACATTAGCAGAGATTTACAGATAGCTAAAGGGGGTTTCTCTGTAAAACGTGTAAATCATTTCTATTTAGGCAACCCTAGCGGCTACAGACATTTTAAGCAGCACAGCTGCTGCTGGTGCTAGAACCTTTAGCTCTTTCTTATGTGAACATTCATAATATCCTCTTGGTTGGAAAGGAAAAGTTGGTCACATTTTTTTTTGTTTTGCACTCAGTGAGTAACATAAGCCAAGCAATGCAGAGAGCAGCTGCTTTTTACAAATGAATGTCTAATTGTGAAATAGTTAGATCTTACCTGTCCTGATTTCCTTAGCATTTCCTTTTTTGGCTAGAATAGAGGGGTTGCCCTTCCATTTTATTTATACTGTCTTTTTATTTTATTTAGGTGGGTTCCCAAGATTTAAAGAAATTTTACTCACAGTGAAGTACTCAAATAGCGTAACTTTTAATAACAATGGCTAGTCTTACAGCAGCTCTTATCCTGAAGGATCCTAAGGTGCTGACACATCAGTTATGGCGTAAATAAGAATGGCGTTATCTGCACTGAAACATAGTAGCTTTCTTTCTCCTCTTCTGCATCATCCTGAAATGTGCTTATGTGTAACTGCATGTCTCCCAGGTTTCAGATGGAGTGCGTATGGTTTACCCCTAAAGTAACTAATTCAGTATAGTAGTCAAGACACTCTCAAGTAAGTACGTTTTTTGTATATTCAAAAGCCAAGTTGCCCTAAGAGTTTCCTAACTTACACTAAAGAACCTGGCTCCTAACTGGAATTAAGATAGACCTAAGGATGTCCTAACACTAAAACATTTCTCAGCATGAATCGTGGACTTGAAGCAATTGTATATAGAGAACTTTGTGTGCACACAACGGTGCTAGACATCAGTGGTGCACTGCCCAGACACAGGTGTTTGCAGGATCGGGACCATAAATAGGATAAGAAAATGTTAATTCCCTAGAACTTAGAGTGAATTTAAAAAGCCAAGTACTGAGTCTATATCCATTAATATTCACTATTGTAATTTTGTGGCTCCTCGCATTCATTTCATGCCATTCCTAAAAACCCCCTGAAATTTGGTCCATTTATGTTGTATTTACCCTATGACAAACAACTGACCCAGGCAATCATAATACACACACACGTATATATATATACAAACACATACATCTTTAAAAAATTTCTACAAGTGTTATTATTCTTGGCTAGGTCTTCTCTTTTCAGAATATTCATTACAATGCTGAGGCAGTATTTTCTACAAGCCTATAGACACATTAGAATCCTATTTTTTTCAGCAGAAAGGTTGATAAGCATCTATTATTATTCCTAGTGGTGATATTAGAACTACAAGGTAATATTTGGACTTAGTAAACCAGAATGAGATTTCGGAAATCCCCAAATATGGGGGCAATTCAGTCATGTATATTGGGCTAATCCAGTGGTGGACAAAACTTGGCCCATGGGCCAGATCTGGCCCACCAACAGATTCAATCTGGCCTGTGGGCAGGCACCCAGTAACTCATTGGATCTGACCCATGGGTGGCTGGTGGCTCCAGCTCTGGCCACCGTATGGTGTCAGATGACCAGGAAGTCGGAGCTGTTTCTGCTGTGCTGGGTGCATTGGTGGGACTGCTTTCAGCAGTATCAGCTGTGGACCTGGGTGTGGGCTTCCATTGCAGCAGGCGGTTGGCAGCATCAGCTGTGGATGCTGCCAGCAGGCTCAGGAGCCCTACTGCAGAACCTGCCAATGGTATCCATAGCTAATGTCTCTGTCCTCATGGCACAGTGGAAGCTCCTACCTGGAGCCCTGACCCAGAACCTGCCGGCGGCATCACGTGTGGACTCATGCAGGAGCTTGCCATGGTGCTGGGTGGTGGTGGCATCAGCTGTCGACACTGTCAGTAGGTTCTGTGTCAGGGTGCTGGAACCTGCTAGCTGTGTCCACAGCTGACATCGCTGCCCTCCCACCATGGTAGAAATCCCTGTCTGGGTCTACAGCTAAGCATTGGGGTATCTGGCAAACTACAGCTCTGGCTGGCTTCTGGAGGGAGGGAGGGGGACAGAGAGATGAGAGAGAGATGGATGTGGCCCTCAACAGGTCACCAAAACTCATTAAGTGGCCCTCCAGCTGAAATAGCTGCCTACCTCTGGGCTAATCCCTAATTGAAACTTCCCTGCCTGCAGGGGGAGTTCAGTTTTATAAACTGCTCTCACTTCTTGCCAGGTAAAGTCTATGCATTAATAATGAAAATTTTCAAAGAGAACATTTTGAAAGATGATAACTGCACCCAACTGGTCACACTCATTGCTATAATAGGGAAATACCTTCAGGTCCTAAGTCGTTTCACTGATTGGATAGCATAAGGTCTCTTGATCACTTCTCAAGATTCCCCTCACCTTCCTTTTTCTCTCTGGCCACGAGGGGTAAAAAAAAATTTGTGTAACCAAAGCTATGAGTTCTCACACTATCATTGACATTACATTTTTTATTTTATCTATTCATTTTGTACCTTTTACCTGAAGTGCTGGAATAGAATAACCAAAGGACACAGCAAGAAAACAAACTGAACTAAAAAACAACAAAGCAACAATGAAAACTGGCCTCTTGGAGCGAGAGGTAAGTGAGTTTTACTGTACTCTGTAAATGTCTTAAGGAAAGGTTCACATTGTGTAAATCCTAATACAGTGATCAGTCATTCTCTCTCCTCCCCACTCCCTCCTTACCATCCAGTGACACTTTCTGGGCCTCTGGAGGTCAATCACATAAAACCCCTTTTTCTTGTTTGTCCTTATGAAAACATTTTTTTTTTTTGTTCTAGTGCATTTATTTTGGACGTCTGCTAGAAATGTAATTTCTGACCTGAACTAGGAATAAAGCTACATTTACAGTGATCCAGAAACTTGTTAACAGCATGATATGTTTCAAGAACAGCAGGTTTTATATGCGACACTCAAGCCTACTGAAACACAATGCCAGCCATGGCAAAAGATATTTAATGCCTGTGACATTCCATTTAAATTTATATTTACTTAGCTGCTGAAGAGAGTTGGTTTCACATATTATTTTTCAAATGTTAGTGTTTAGCAAATCCTTTTTCCTTTTTTTTTTGTTAATAAGTCATGGTAGCTAGGAAATATTTGATAAAGCAGTAAGTCTGCTGTATCTCATACCAGAAAGAATAATAATAAAATAAAGCCAAAAGCCAAACAAATCATTAAGTTGTACTACACTGAAAAGAAAATATGGCTTAGCTCTCATTTCCATATGATTTCATTGCAAAGACAGCAAGTGCTCCAAGGCATAGATATCATAAATAAAGCACTAGATGAGAAACAGAAAGGTATCCCCTGTATTCCCTGTAATGAGTTTTGTAGAAGCAACTGAGGTCATCCAGTGCCCAGCCGAGGTGATCCCGGCTAAATCTAACCACGCTTGGGATCATTATTG